TGACAAACACCTCCCCTTATTTTCTTTTTTGAGCTGCAGGTATTGGTGCTGACCTCAGTTCTAGAGCTACACTCCTTCCCTGTCCTTTTTCACCTTACAGATAGTCAGACCTAATGTGTGTGGCCAAGGACATGATTCAGAGGGTTCCCTGAGCACTGGAAAGAGAAGAATGTCCATTGAGCAATCTAACTCAGCTAGGGGAAAATGGCTGACTTCATAGTTATCACTCATCCTCCCCTCTCACAATTCTGTCACACTAGACAGAAGTTAAAACCCAATGAAACACAAGAGCAATAGCAGCTCTTCTGAGAAACAAGAAACCACAATAAGTCTAGTTTTGAGAGCAAAAGTAAAAAAGTTGGTGATTGCAAATAGAGGCAGGAATGCATGAGAACACTGAAATTCTTGCTGGGAGCTCAATTTTTTGAGCTGTTCACTCTTACCTCAGCAGGAGAATTGATAATGGAGACCTGCAACCCATACTGGAAAGCTCCACCAATGCCCAGAACAAAAGCCAGGAGGAAGAGATTGTAGCTCATTTTCTGGCAGGAAATAAAAGCAGCAAACAAAGCTAGTACAGCTCTTCAGACATGTCCTGTTTTACCTTCAGGAACTCGTACAGTTGAGCAATGCCACACACCTGCCTCCTCTGGGATAAAGGAGCCAGCACAAAGAGAATCACAACTACTAAAGCAGAGGACAGTGAGAGATTTGAGGAGAGACAAAGGTCATAGCTGTCTCCCAGAACCCAGTTACACACTTCAGTGCTTCTCTCTTCAGCTTTGGGTGTCTTAATCTGCACTATCATAGGGTAAATGGTTGTGGGAGCATGGTGCAATGTGCAAGCATCATGTGCACAATTTCCATCTACTTGTCATTCCTTCTCCTCCTTTCCCTCTTGTTACCTCACCTAAATGAATATTTTGCTCAGTGACTTGGCCGAGACTAGACAAGCATTTGGGGATTGAAGGGCATTCCTGGTTTCATAGTTTATTCACCCTTTGTTAGAACTATATCTGACAAAAGACTTAAGAATTCCCCCGGGGTACAGTGCTGTGATACGTGTGTACCTCATGCCTCCGACTCCCACTGCTCCCCGTTACTACTGGTAGTTGAGTTGAGGAGAGCAGATTTGAGCAAAAAGTGAGATCAGGGTCCATGGTGGCCAAAATATGAATACTGCGTACAAATTGCATTTTTAAACAGTTCCACATCTTTGGGTGCAAATCAGCACACAGTAGGCTGTAGCTAGAGGGACTCAGATCTGGATCTGGTCATTATTGCTTCCATCAGGTTAATCATACATACTGTAAAGTACACACAAATCTGTTTTGTACCTGAAATGTATTCTATGCCTTGATGATTAGTGCTTAAAGTGTCCTTAGAAAGATAAGTCATGTTAACTTCTTTGTGTTTCACATCTTCAGAAAGTAAAATACCATTTTTTGCAAAACAACTTATTTTACTGAAATAAAAGTAATGCGAGCTGAGCAAAACTTGTCTTCCAGTAGATTTCGCTGTAGGAACAGCGCAGTGTGTGCTCCAGTTACTGGCATTGTAACTGACAATATGAAAAAGACACTGGCTCCACCTAATTTTCATTCCCATGAATGCAGCCTGTTCACTTTATTAGGAAACTCATAGTTGTTTTCCTTATAGGCTTGGTGTCTGTATTTTATGTTGACGGCAATTGTTTCTGTCCAGTCTTCTTATATCTTGCCTATGAAAATCTCCTTGTAATTTGAAATTAGTGGTTTTGCTGCCAATGTTGATAGTTCATGATACTATTGCAAGTCCTGGTCGCACTGTGCAGGAGGACCCGTGTGCTTCTAATTCTAAAGTCTGGATGGAAGATAAGGGTTTTGTGCACGTTTAGCAAGTCTTTCGTCAGAAGTGCAGGTGACCACAATTTTCAGGTGAATTTGTAACTTGTCAGACATAACAGATGAGATTGAATTCTCCAAGGTCCCACAGGCCTTCTGGGTTAAAAATTTAACCATGATTTTAACATTGTTTTGATGAAACCGTTGTTTTGCTACTGGATTGTTATTCTTTTGTTTATGAAAAGATAGAAGTATATTTCCCTGTAGAGTCAGTGTCTCAAAGAATGAGCATTGTTGCCGTAAGTCATGGTACTGTGATTCTCTGAAAACAGATGCACAATGGAAAAGTTAACATACGGGTTATTTTTTTTTTTCACTTTCACAGCACTGCAGGTACTTTAATTCTTCCAACTCTACACAAAAATCTGTGTTTGTGCCTCTTCTGATCCTATTGTCGTCGTCTGTGTGCATATAAAAAATAACCTATTTTCTGCAGCGTTCAAAATTTCATTGTAATACTTCAGTTATATAGTAATGTAAAATTTAAAATGGATGTAAATGAGTCACAATACTTGCATTTTCATGTATCGACATTCATGTTGGTTGACTGTCAGCTGAATATGAGCCAGCAGCGTGCCCAGGTGGCCAAGAAGGCCAACAGCATCCTGGCCTGTATTGGGAATAGTGTGCCCAGCAGGACTGGGGCAGTGATCGTCCCCCTGTACTCGGCACTGGTGAGGCCCCACCTCAAATACTGTGTTGAGTTTTGGGCCCCTCACTACAAGAAGGGCATTGAGGGGCTGGAGCGTGTCCAGAGAAGGGCAACGAAGGCTGGTGAGGGGTCTGGGGAACAAGTCTTGTGAGGAGCAGCTGAGGGAGCTGGGGGTGTTCAGCCTGGAGAAAAGGAGGCTGAGGGGAGGCCTTATCACTCTCTACAACTCCCTGAAAGGAGGTCTTAGTGAGAGGTTGGTCTCTTCTCCCAAGTAACAGGCGCTAAGACAAGAGGAAATGGCCTCAAGTTGTGCCCGGGAGGGGGTTAGATTGGGTATTAGGAAAAAATTCTTCATTGAAAGGGTTATAAAACACATGAGCAGGCTGCTCCGGGAAGCAATGAAATCACTGTCCCTGGAGGTATTTAAAAGCTGGGGAGATGTGGTGCTGAGGGAGGTGGTTTAGTGGTGGTTTTGGCAGTGTGAGGTTAAAGGAGGGACTCGATGATCTTAAGGGTCCTTTTCAACCGTGACTATTCTATGATTCCATGTTGTTTGCAACTCGGCGTGACAGTGACGGGCGAGAGACAGCCCTGTAATTTAAGTGTATCAGCAAAAGCTATTATCGTTCTATTTCAGGGGGGAAGCAAATCATAGAATATCAAAGTAAGAACAGCAGATATTCATGAATGCTTTGGAAGTAGCGTTACATGAATTGTGTAAGATGTTTCTTGTAATTATTTAAGAATTGTCAAAACACTACGGTCAGATTTGGGGCTTGTTCTGTCAACTGCCGGGTACGCATGGTGTGAAATATGGACCTGCTTTGATTTATCCAGTTTAGGTACACGTGGTTCGAAGGGGCAATGCTGTACTTGTGCTGCTTAAAGATATAAAGCAGCGTTTGTAGGAGAACGTGGCATCTTTTCTTCAGCTAAAGACACGTGTGGGGGGAAAGCCCTGAGCGCCCATCCCTCAGACGCCGCGCCCCCAGCGACACCGGGGCAGCCTCACCCGCCCGCCTCCCCTCAGCGGCCGCCTTTAACGACCTCCCTCAGCACCGACTGCTCCTTGGTGCCGAGGATTCCTCCGTCGGCGGGGCGGAGGTGGTTTCGGGGCCTCCCCGGGGCCTCCCCGGGGCCGCCCGCCGCCGCCGCGACTTCCCCCGACACCAGACAAAGGAGCCCGGCCCTATCACGGCCGGCCGCGCCCTCCCGCCGTCAAGTCCCGCCTCCACCTCCCTCTCATTGGTCTGCTACTGTGAGGGCGTGTGCCTCTCGCGTCTCTATTGGCAGAGCGAGTTAACATGCCAGGGAGTTCACCAATGGCTACCGAGATTTCAAATCCGTGACAGAAGAGACTGGGAAAGCAATTGGTTCGGCGAGGGCGGAGTCCCGCCTGCGGAGACTGGAGCGACTCGGAGCAGGCGTTTAAAGATGGCGGCGGCAGCGCGGAGCGGGGGGAGGTTTTGGTGAAGTGGCAGAGCTCGCTCTCCGCCTCTCTGTCCCCCCTCGACCCGCGGAGGAGCGGCAGGGACGCCGGGGATGGCTCAGGTGGGTGCTGCCGCCGTGGGGCGATGGGGAGGGCGCTCACGGGTGGGCCTGTGCGCCGCCGCGCGGGCAGTAACCCCTCCGTCCCCACAGGCCGCGGCGCCTGCGGGGGCCGCCCGGCCCGTCGCGCTCCTCGCCGCCGGCACCGTGCGGCCGCCGCTCCTCCGGGAGCCGTGAGGGGCCTTTCCCCGAGCAGCGGAGGCGAACACAGAGACAGCCTGTGGCTCCAGGGGGTTGCCCTCCCCGGCGGGGGGTGCCGTGAAGCGCTTCTCCCCCGCCTGGAGCTTCCTCCCCTCAGAGCTGGTGTTTTGTTCACAGCTTTTTGGGTGGGGGCTGTGTGTGTGCGGGGGGGTTTCTTTACCGCCCGCGGTCGCCTGCCTGCTGGCTCCCGCCATGGAAGTGCACTCAGGGAAGTAGAAGGAAAGGGAACGCCATGTCTGTCTATCCTCTCGTACACCCCCTTGTCGGTGGGGCGATGGGGAGTATCAACTCTGGCGGGGGTTTCTGTGCTGCATCGTGTCTCACAGTACAGCCTTAGGGTTAAGGGAGGGTGGGAGGGAGGATTTGGGCTAGACGCATCCGTTTGTACAGGGGAGAAGAGCATGTCTCTCCTCTGCAAAGTTAGGAAGAAGAGGTAACCCTTCACCAACGTGGGTGCGGACCCCATTCACTTTTTCCAGTTCTGGTACGCTGGGATTGTGAAGATAAGGT